TTTTATCACTTCTCCAGAGAATGAAAAGTGTATTTGAGAAAGATCATTTCCTCCTGCCCCATGACACTCCTCTGCTTACCTACTAACAGCTGCTTTAGGCAAAATTACATCCACTTTTTAAAATATTTTCCATGACAATGTTCTCTTTGAAAAATTAGGTCTGGTCTTCTGCCAATTGGAGATTTGATGTAACCAAAGATCTTAATCCAGCTAGAGAACTAAATTCACTGAAAACAGAAAGAAAAACTTTCACAAATGTGCTGTTTGCATTCCTACTGTGAAATAAGATCTGACCCAGTACTTATCTGGGAAGAACTCCCACCAGAGCTGTGGAAATCTTGTTTTATGATCAGAAATCTTCTTTGGGAAAGAAACCACTCTGCTCTCTGTCCAACAAGATGGACTCCTTCGTTTCCCAATGTTCTCATGTTAATCCCCAAAGCACGATTGGCTGGTAAACAGCACTGGCTGGGAGGAAGGGATAGAAGTTCTAGAGAGTAAATGGAGACCATGTGAGGTGCTGGACTCCATCAGTGAATTCACTGTGAATCATGTTTTTTTGTCGTTGTTTTTCCTCCATGGTCTGAGTTCCAAACTGAGCGAGACAAGTTAAAATTCTCAGAAATTGCAAAAAATAAAAAACCATATATAATCTCTGAAATATCAGGTGGTACTTGGCACTCATAGGGTCACTCCTCTTCTGGGACAACTTGAATCCATATTGAAGTGCTTTGGAAACTCTGAAATGATATTCCTAATGAGAGCTTCCCAAAGGGGTACCTGAGTGGCTCAGTTGGTTAAGCATCTGCCTTCAGCTCAGGTCATCATCTCAGGGTCCTGGGATCTAGCCCCATTTCGGGCTCCCTGCTCAGCAGGGAGTCTGCTTTTCTCTCTCCCTCTACCCCTACCCCGCTTGTGTGCTCTCTCTCTCACAAATAAATAAATAAATAAAAACTTTTTAAAAAAAAAGAGCCACCCAAAAGTTAAAAGGGAGAAAGAAAATAATCCTTGAACTTATTAAAGAGCTGAGACATTTAAAAATGTTTCTGTGCTAATCTCAGATTTCAAGATATACTACAAAGCTATAATAATCAAAAGAGTATGGTGCTGGCACAAAAAGAGACCCATAGATCAACAGAACAGAATGGAGAGTCCAGAAAGAAACCCACACTATATGGTCAATTAATCTACGACAAAGGAGGCAAGCATATACAATGGGGAAAAAACAGTCTCTTCAACAAAAAGTGCTGTGTAAACTAGACAGCCACATGCAAAAGAATGAAACTGGACTACTTTCTTACACCATACACAAAAACGAACTCAGAATGGACAAAAGACCTAAATGTGACATCTGAAACCATACAACTCCTAGAAGAAAACATAGGCAGTAATCTCTCAGACATTGCCTTTAATAACATTTTTCTACATATGTCTCCTCAGGCAAGGAAAACAAAAGCAAAAATAAACTATTGGGACAACATCAAACTAAAAAGCTTTTGCATGAAGAAAGAAACCAACAAAACAAAAAGGCAACCTGCTGAATGGAAGAAGATATTTGCAAATGGCATACCTAATAAGGGGTTAATATCCAAAATATATAAAGAAATTATATAACTCAAAGTTGAAAAAACAAATGATTTGATTAAAAATGGGCAGAAGACACGAACAGACATTTCTCCAAAGAGGACATCCAGTTGGCCAAAAGACACATGAAAAGATGGTCTACATCCCTTCTCATCAGGGAAATGCAAATCAAAATGACAATGAGATATCACCTCACACCTGTCAGAATGGAAAAAATATAAAACCCAAGAAACAAGTGTTGGGGAAGATGTGGAGAAAGAGGAACCCTTTTAGCACTGGTAGTGGGAATAAAAACTGGGGTAGCCATTGTGGAAAACAGTATGGAGTGTCCTCAAAAAATTAAAAATAGAACTACCCTAATAATAGTGCAGTAATTGCACTATTGGGTATTTACCCCCAAAACACAAAAACACTAATTCAAAGGGATACATGCACTGCTATATTTATAGCAGCATTATTTACAATCCCCATATTATGGAAGCAGCCCAAGTACCTATCAATAGATGGATGAATAAATAAGTGGTATATATTTACAATGGAATATTACCCAACCATAAAAAAGAATGAAGTCTTGCCATTTGCAACAACATGGATGGAGCTAGGGAGTATGCTAAGAGAAACAAGTCAGTCAGAGAAAGACAAATACCATGTGATTTCACTCATATGTGGAATTTAAGAAAAGACAAATGAACAAAGAAAAGACACAAACCAAAAAATAGATTTTTTTTTTAAGATTTTATTTATTTATTTGACAGAGAGAGACACAGCGAGAGAGGGAACACAAGCAGAGGGAGTGGGAGAGGGAGAAGCAGGCTTCCCGCTGAGCAGGGAGCCCGATGTGGGGCTCGATCCCAGGACCCCAGGATCCTGACCTGAGCCGAAGGCAGACGCTTAACGACTGAGCCACCCAGGCGCCCCCCAAAAATAGACTCTTAACTATAGAGAACAAACAGATGGTTACCAGAGAGGAGGTTGGTGGGGGATGGGTGCTATAGGTGATGGGGATTAAGGAGATCACTTGTGATGAGCACTGGGTGATGTATGGAAGTGTTGAATCACTATATTGTACACCTGAAACTAATACAGCACTGTATGTTAACTAAACAAGAATTTAAAATTTAAAAAAGGATCTTCCAACTCTAATGTTCAGGGTTTCTTTAAAAAAAAGGGGCAGAGGAACTGAAAAAACGTTATTACAAAGAAGACATACAGATGGCCAACAGACACGTGAAAAGCTGCTCAACATCACTAATGATCAGGGAAATGCAAATCAAAACAATGAGATACCACTTTATACCTGTCAGAATGGCTGATATCAAAAGGACAAGAAGTAACAGCTGTTTGTGAGGATATGGAGAAAAAGGAACCCTTATGCACTGTTGGTGGGAATGTAAATTGGTACAATTGTGGGAAAAGGTATGAAGATTCTGCAGAAATTTAAAAATTGAAATACTACAAGGATGCCTGGGTGGCTCAGTCAGTTAAGTGTCTGCCTTCAGCTCAGGTCATGATTTCAGGGTTTTGGGATCAAGCCCTGCATGGGGCCCTCTGCTCAGCAGGGAGTCTGCTTCTCCCTCTCACTCTCTGTCTGTGCTCTCGTGCACGCTCCCTCTCAAATAAAAATCTTAAAAAAATTTTTTTTTTAATTAGAAATACACATAAGCCAGTAATTCCACTACATCATATTTACCCAAAGAAAAAGAACACTCTAATTCAAAAAGATATATGAAGTCCTTTGTTTATTGCAGGATTATTTACAATAGCCAAGATACGGAAGCAACCCGTGTCCATTGATAGATGAAGGGATAAAGAAGATGTGGTATTGTATACCATGGAATATTACTCAGCCTTAAAAAATAAAGATTGCGATCTTGCCTTTTGTGACAACATGAATAGACCTAGAATGTATTATGCTAACTGAAATAAGTCAGACAGAGAGAAATACCATATGATTTTGCTTATATGTGGAATCTGAAAAACAAACGAACAAACAAAAAGCAGAAACAGACCCATCCCATAAATATAGAAGACAGATTGGTAATTGCCAGAGGGAAGGAGATGGGAGAATGGGCAAAATAGGGAAGAAGAGTGAGAGGCGCAGGCTTCCAGTTATGGCATGAGTAAGTCACCAGGCTAAAAGGTACAGCATAGACAGTGTAGTTACTGGTATGATAATAGCACATGTGACAGTAGACAATAGCTACCCTTGTGGAGAGCATAACACAATGTACAGGGTTGTAGAATCAGGGTTGTACACCTGAAACTAACGTAATATTGTGTCAACTGTACTTCAAATTAGTTTCTGTGCTTTCAAAATACTCAGATTTTAGAAACAATTTTTTAAATAATGGTCTATATCCTAATTTCTATTAGGATGTAGAATAGAATTCTCTATTATTTATTTATATGAACAAGTAATATACCTCTGCTGATGCTGAAGTCCAGGATATGAAATAATCAAATTCATAATATGGGGCTGATGACATCTTTTTTTTTTTTTAAAGATTTTATTTATTATTTATTTGAGACAGAGAGAATGAGAGACAGAGAGCATGAGAGTAGGGAGGGTCAGGGGGAGAAGCAGACTCCCTGCCGAGCAGGGAGCCCGATGCGGGACTCGATCCCGGGACTCCAGGATCATGACCTGAGCCGAAGGCAGTCGCTTAACCAACTGAGCCACCCAGGCGCCCCTGATGACATCTTTTTATAAGACTTGAGGAAAACAAAAGCCTTGGAGATCTTTCTCATCATACTGTTTCTATTACTCCCTTTCTATAAATTTGTCCTTGTCTTTGCTTCTTTTGCTCTTTTTCTAACCTCCATCTTAAATCTAATGAAGAATGCAAGATGTAGGGGCGCCTGGGTGGCTCAGTCATTAAGCGTCTGCATTCGGCTCAGGTCATGATCCCAGAGTCCTGGGATCGAGCCCCGCATCGGGCTCCCTGCTCCGCGGGAAGCCTGTTTCTCCCTCTCCCACTCCTCCTGCTTGTGTTCCCTCTCTCACTGTGTCTCTGTCAAAATAAATAAATAAAATTAAAAAAAAAGAATGCAAGATGTAATTCTGTTATGACTATTTTTGCCTTGTACACCCCTTCTCAAACAGATGCCTTTCTGTACATGGTGAGAGAATCTCAGAAATATTAGTTCAAAAGCAGATGCATTCGTAAGAGAAAGCAGAAGAGTTCCACGGGCTGAGGTGAAGGGGGAATGGGGAGGGACTCAATGGGTAGTTTGTGTTTGGGATGATGAACAGGTTCTTCAAAAGCATTGTGGTGACAGTTGTCCAACATTGTGAATGTATTAAATGCCACTGAATTGTGCACTTACAAATGGTTAAAATGGTAAATGTATGTATGTATATGTTACCCTAGTTAAAAAAAAAAAAAAGGGAAAAAGCAGATGCAGCACACCATCTCTTTCAGACATGACCAATTTATTCAGAAAATTCAAATTTCAGTTTGGCAAAGTATATCCAGGGGCAGAGAGTTCGGGATAGTCATTTCATTGGAAGCAATCACATTTTCTAGAGCTAAATGTCCATGGGGTAGTTAAAAATAATTTAGTGTGCAAGGGGTGATAATCATAAATATTTGCAGAGTCAACAAAACAAACAATCAGCTTACACAACCGGGGCATGAAAAACGCTTATGGTAGGAGTACTCCTTTATTCAATTTAGTGCAACACACATTAAGCCCCTAATTTATTCAAGACACTGGGCTAGCTGCTGGGGTTGAGGTGGAAATACAGAAATCACCAAGACACAATCCCTGTCCTTAAGAAGTTTACAACAGCACATATAAAAATGAGTGCGGTACAAAATAACTGCTCTAAAAACATGGAGAGCTTACTTCTCCGTAGAGGTTAAAGTCAGGACCCCCTTAATTTTGTGCTGTGGGTGAGGGAGGCAGGATACAACGTGCCAAGAGAAGAAAAGTCTGGTGTCTAAGTATGGCTTGGGAACAGGACTGGACTAACTCCTCCACAGCTTTATGTGTGTGAATAGGGCAGGAGTATTCAAAAGTATTCTTTTATTTTAATTCCTCTCATCAGTGTTAGCCCATTACAAGGAAGTGATGGACAGGAAGTGAGGTCTATTAAAAAAACAAAGTTTGAAGAGGCAGGGACATGAACAGGAAACACCATTTCATAGTTTCGTGTAAACTCAACCCCGTGTGTATATACATCTAGTAGCTTAAATAACATCATCAAATGGGGGGAAAAATCCATCCGGAGCACCATAGTTCATCATGGCAGAACACAGTCTCTCTTGTTAGATTCTAAGACTAGCTTTGGCTCCTGCCAGTGGAGGACGTAATGCTACAGGGAAATTGGAAGTCCGTATTTTTACACATGAATTAAAGTCCTTAAACGTTACCTCCTCAACTCAGCATAAATGATGAAGAGAGCTTAGAAGAGATAATTTGGGGAGAGAGATTTAAGTCTTTCTAGGCTAACTGATCTAATGATGCCTTGGCATGCTGTATTTCCTATTTAAAAAAATACAGGATGAGCAAGTCTTTCCTGAATAATAACTATGTGTAGAACATACTTCAAGAGGAATTTTAACGGAACATACTACTAATCAAACATCAGTTTCTGCTTTTGTAATTTACACAAATTACCTTAATTATAATACTTTAGGGAACACTTACAAACACAATTATGTAACGTTGCTTTAATACTCATCAGCCTTAACTTCTAAAAGTTTGGCTTATATTATTTTATCTCAAAAAAAAACCTACTTATAAATCTCGTTTTCCCACAGAATTAATTCACCATCCAACTTTAAAAATAACTTTTAAAAACAGAAACCAATAGTAAACTGGAATGCTAATACCTGCCAGGCTTTGATAAAATAAAAATAAACAACTTACATAAACAGCACCTCATAAAACCAAAACCTCCTTTTGAAATACAAAGTTCAATTCTTCTTGCCTTCGTGGTAACTGCTATCAGAATCCCCAATTCTCCCCCTCCCCACTTCAATCCAGGAACTGTTCTGGTTTGTTAAGTCACATAACACACAGTATTTTTTAGCATTAATAAATTATTGATATGGTACCATGAATAGCTGTTTTTAAAAACCAACGTTAACTCAGAAGACCAGTAGAACAGATACAATAGCACACTAAAATGATTTAAAAGAAAAAAAATTTTTAAATGTACCTTATCCTGGTCTTGTATTAATTCAAATTAAAAACCAAAGGATGAAGTATCATTTCAGACCTATATACATCAAGATGCCAGTTCTTATAAAAATGTACTTTAGTTGTAAATGCTAGGTTATGCAAAAATAAGTTTATATCAATTGTATTTAATTTAATGAATTTTCCCCAACTCTAATATTAAAAATGTTAAAAGAACTTAAATTTTAATGGCAAAAAGTTCCTATTTTCCCCATCTATTAAAAAAAGATTTTATTTTCCCTTATTAACATACAATGCCCTATTGTTAAGGCACAACTTTTTTTAGGATAAAAATGAAACCATAGACTAGGTTGATTTTATACAACAGTTACAAGACAGAATTTTTGTAGGCATATACTGAAAATAATATACCTCAAATTCAACGAAGATCAAAAATGAAAAATCAGTTTCTATCCAGGACCAGTCAACACATAGCCAAGATAAATAGTTGTAGCTAGAATAACCCAAGTAGATTCTATTTTTAACCTGCCAAAGATTGTCTCCATAAGGCCATTTTCAAGGTGTTATCAAGGAGAGGCAAGCTGGATATTTTCTTTTTTGAAGAACAGAGGGTGGTGGCACCCCAGCTTTCTTTACTTATGCTTTGCTATCAGAGATCGTTGTCACCTTCAAAGCCTGGGTGAGATCCAGTTTTTGAACATCTGAGACAAGGGCAGAGTTCCTGATCCTAGGGCTCAGGCAGATGTTTGCTCTGCATCCTCCCTCTGCTACCCTTCCCTGGAGCTTTCTTCCTTCCCACCCTCTTCTTAGCCACTGCCCCTCCCCTACTTCCTCTGAACCCAATTAGCACAATATTCAAAGGGAGCACTCAGCAACAGAATTTGCACAATTGTTACTTAAAACACATGAACCAAAACACTTGTTAGCTTCATCATACAGCCATAAACAATTCATCTGAATGTTGATTTAAATCAAGAAAAAACATTAGAGGAAAGAGGACAACTGAATACCAAACAAATATGATCCTTGTAGGCCCTTTGTAATCTCAACTGAAATAGGGACACAAGTATGAAAGCTAACAGAAAAAGCAAGTTTTCTTAAGCAGGCTTATATACCTAATTCTTGTATTTTCTGCATTTTCATTCTGTGAAGAAAGGATCTAAAGAAATGGTTTGTAAAGACAGAAGCACTGGATTAGACTTGACTGTGTAAATCTTTGTGGTTTTGAAGGTGATTTTCCTTTACCTTTTGAGAACAGTCTTTGAGAAATAACGGTCAACCAGAACTCTTGCCTGGCTTCATCTCCCTGACCAGGAACTTAACTCAGTTCTACCATAAGATCTCAGCAGCCAATCTTGAGAGAAGTAGGTCTAGGAGAGAATTCAGGGGTTAAGTTTTGGGGGAGAGTATGGTCCAGAAAGGGGCAGATACAGAACAACATCAACGGGCTGGGGAGCCAGGGAATGAGGTAGAGATGAAGGGCAGAGCAAGGGGACAGCTAATAAATACTGAAGTTATCGATGCCACTACTTTTACTAAATGTGATGTGTAAAACTCAAAAGTTTAAGGGAGCATTGTGCTCTAAATGATAGCAAAGATAAAGGAAAGGGAAGACCAGGAGTTGGGGAGGTGAGGCTTGCTAAACGTTCAACTTTATTTTGCTGCATTTAGAAGTAATTCTGGGAGATAGTACATGCCTCACTTATTCATGGTGTTTTACTGGTTATGTTCTGGCACAATAATGTCTCACATAAATAAATATAAATATTGTTCTTTGTACTTATATTAGTTCTGTAATGTATATTGACTTTTAGAAACAAAAAAATTAAAAATGAATTTTCTATAAAAGCACTTAAAAACCATTAGTAACTAGACTATACCCAACAAATTATAAAAATAATGCATTTAACTGTCAGCCAATATCTTAACTTTTGCACATAACACCAACCCTTCGCAAAGTCATTATCTACATGCAGATTAATGGAATTAAAAATAAAACCAAAGTAATCATGCTTGCTAATATGATCTAGTTTCATTTCCATTAAATTAGAAATTTTCCATGTAATATTGAAAAAAAAAAAAAACCCTCCAATTAAATGCCATTTCTTAATATGCCAGTCTTCTTGCCCCATGTTTGACACATTACAATTAAAACAAATGCTTATACCACAGACTCTGGAAATAGTATATGCCTCTGCCATCTCTCCTGAGGAAAAAATATTCTCATTTCATTGAAAAGTAAAAAGATGAGGTCTCCAATACTCTGTTCTGAACCTGTAAGTCCTGTTTAAATATCAAGTGTTCCAACTACCAAAACTTTGTATGAATTTTCACTGAACCTATCGAGGCCCACCACACTATCAGGTTTGTGAACAGTTGCTAGAGACTGGGAATAAACATGTGCTTTGTACTAAATTCAGTTCCCTAAGGAGGAATGAAAGGACCCTGGAGACCATGTAAAAGGCAGACCTACAGCTGTATGCACATTCCACTAGGTGAGGATGTCCATTCTTTGGTCAATTTTACCTCCATGACAGGAAAAGAAATGGAAAGTTGTTTTGAAGAAAGAAAAGAAGAAAACAATGAGCAATCCCCTCCCCCTATAATCAGTATGTTATAAAATACAAGGACATCAAAGTCACATGAAATAATGGTATTGTTTACACGAAGTTTCCAGATAACACACTGAGAGAAATCCAACATTCCGATGAAAGTTCACAGAGCAAGGTTCTAATTACAGGGACACAGTGAATATGCCACTGCCTTTCTTCCAGTCAGATTCTGCCTACTGAATTAAAACAAAAATTACTTAAAAAGTAACATTAACCTTTGTTATTTTAATCTGAAAGGAAACTTTAAAGTATCTTAAAAGCTACTACTTTGAGATTAGATTAGATCCATTTATTAATGGTAAAAGCAACCATAAATCATTCTTGATAAGGTGAGAATCTCTACATACAAACCTGGCAACGTTTTTAAAAAGTACTAAAACAAAACTTGAAAATAACGAAAGCTAGCTCAATTTGTGTAGTATCAAATGACTCAATTAACAGAATAATTTATATTCTTATAGTGCATAATTTATCCCTAATGAGAAAATGTACCAAAATCTTAGTGCTAACCCTGAAACCTTAATCCAAACCTTACATGTTAAAGACTAAATGCTGGTTAGGAGGGAAAGGATGGGACCATGCAATGTCCACAGAACAAACAAAAATCAACAGTAAGGTGGCAGAAATATTGAACCCATGGATACAAATACACTTTTCTGTACAAAAACAAAAACACACACACAGAAACTACTATTACAACGCAATCATCATATAGCTATATTTTCGACTAGCTGGTGAACCTGTTAAAATTTCAAAGAAAAAAAAATAAGCTTTTTCTATTTTAATCCATTAAGAAATATTCAGTAACAACAGATAAATAGAGCATTTGTTGCATATTAATGAATGTGTGGCTTCTTGTGCTTTCCATCTGAATTAGGGGTAAAAACCTCCAATTACTTTATTTTCAATGAGATACAATTGTAAAGTAGTATTAAATCTACACAAAATCAATCCTTTCTTCAGCCCTATTCTGTATGAAAGTACTAACAAATAGTGAAGATTCATGATGTTGTGTGAAAATTGTGACTCATAACAATGTAGACTCAGCTATAGATTTTAATTCACAAATATATATATATATGTGTGTGTGTGTATATATATATATATATATATATGCGGCCTTGTGTATGACAACTGTACGAAAATAGTCTCAAAAATAAAGACAATACTTGAGACACGAAGCAACCCACTTTCCCTGATCTTGCATCCTATTACAGGGAAAATAAGTCTCTGATGCTTCATAAATACTTTAAAAAGTTCTGGATGGCCTTAACCATGCAGTCTCCACCAAAGCGTTGAAGACCCCAGCGTTTCAGGCTGACTGCTCAACTCAGGAAGAGCTGTGACCTGTGATCACCTTTGCTTATTTATGTCCTGTCTTCTCTAGATCTGGGAGTTTTCTGACTAGAGCCTGGTGGTTCATTCTGATGCTAGCAAGGAGCCCTCCTTCAATGCCGTCGGAACCAGTGTAACTGATTTCTTCACCACTCAGGGTAGTCATATGCCCCCCAAGGGCTTTTAAGATGGCATTGCCAGCACATATATCCCATTTTTTGATGTATGTCACATGGATATATAGATCAGCTTTTTCTTGACTCTTATCAGGCACATCCAAGAGTGCTAAAACTTTATAACCTAAAAGAGAAACACAGAATTTAGGTTACTATTCAAAAGATTTAAAGAAAGTAGCTTACTTTTTTTTTTGTTTCTTTCTTTTTTTTTATTAATTTTATTATGTTAGTCACCATATATTACATCATCAGGTTTTGATGTAGTGTTCCATGATTCATTGTTTGTGTATAACACCCAGTGCTCCATGCAATACGTGCCCTCCTAAATACCCATCACCGGGCTAACCCATCCCCCCCCAAGTAGCCTACTTTTTAAGAGTACATTGTGAAAAATAACAGCACAGGATAGGCAGAAGTTCTCTATACTATCTTTGCAATTGCAAAATCTAAAACTATTTAAAAATAGTTTTGTTCTTTTTTCAAGGAAGTTAACAGTGCAGACATCGAACCCAAATGAGCAAAAAAATATACTGTAAAGGAATTTATGAAGCTATTCTCAAGTGTAGCCAAATATACTTCTATAATCCTTTAAATTTAAATCTACTTTGTGGTTGTTTTCTATGGAATGATACAGTCACTCTGTATCCTTTCCTCTGGAATACTATACTGAAGCTATATACCCACGGGTTTCATCTGAATATCTAGGAACACTGATTTGAAAGAAGACAAAATAACACAACCTTAAGCCTTTTCTGTAATGAGGCAGAATTTTTAAAAATTTAAAAAATAATAAAATAAAACAAACAGAAGAAACCAGGTCTAGAATCTGATGTATCCCATTCATACTGGATATTCTGAACATTACCTTCCTAACCAACATTAACAGAGGGCTTATAGGAAAATATATTAAGTAAGGTACATACATGTAATCATGTAAAGGTTTTAAACACATGTTTTTCACCATAATTTGTTATTTATTTGAATTAAAACACTTCTGTCATATTAAAAAGCACTCAAAACAAGGGTGAGCAAAAGGCCTGTGAGCCAAATTCAGGCCATGCACTGTTTTTTGTATAACCCTCAAGTTATGAATGGTTTTCTGTATTTTTAAAGGTGGTAACAAACCAAAAATCCAAGAATAGTAGGCAGTAGAGTCTACACGTGGCTCATAAAGCCTAAAATGTTTACTATCTGGCCTTTTAGAAAAAGTAAGCTGACCCCTGATCAACAACAGGTAATAAAATAGTGCAGAATATAGAGTAAGCTGGGTGGCTACCAGACTCCAGCTCATCCCAGACATGCAAGCTGAAGAGCTCAGAGGTGTTAAAAGTGCCCAGGGATTAGTCATCCTAGTAACACTTATGAGGATTCCTGACATCTTTCTGCCATCGTAATGTGCTTGATCTTCCCTTCTCTCCCTGATATTCCTACAGTTAAGCTAACAGCACAATTACTTTGAAATTAGATCACATATAAAACCACTACTGACAGTACATCACTGACATGAAGATGCTTTTGTAGTATTCAAGGAACAGCAGTCACTGTTGTGAAACTATTGTCCTTACTGTGAGGCTGTTTCTTTCTTTCCTTTCCTTTTCTTTTTTTTTTTTTTTTAAGATTTTATTTATTCATTTGACAGAGAGAGACACAGCGAGAGAGGGAACACAAGCAAGGGGAGTGGGAGAGGCAGAAGCAGGCTTCCCGCAGAGCAGGGAGCCCAATGTGGGGCTGGATCCCAGGACCCTGGGATCGTGACCTGAGTCAAAAACAGATGCTCAAAGACTGAGCCACCCAGGCGCCCCTCTTTCTTTTTTTTTTTAAAGGTTTTTTATTTATCTATTTGAGAGAGAGAGAGCACAAGCACGGGGAATGGCAGGCAGAGGGAGAGGGAGAAGCAGGTTCCCCATGGAGCAGGGAGCCCCATGCGGGGCTCAATCCCAGGACTCCGGGATCATGACCCCAGCCAAAGGCAGACGCTCACCCGACTGAGCCACCCAGGTGTCCCTGTGAGGTCATTTCTAACAAGAAGGCATGTGTGGCTGAAATCCCACCCTCGAGATAACCAAGTAGGAGACCATACCTGTCTGCAAAGTACACTGTCTATTCTCACTTTTTTCCCAAGCACAGGACAACCAAATCTTTCTCCCAACATAAGCCTTGACCATGCGGGGGACACTGTCCCCAGGCACAACAGGGGAATAGGAACGTACCAGCACCACCAGCTGGGATAATTGTAGTCTGGTTTCCAAAAGTCTGAAGAGCAACCTGTTTGACCATTCCTGAATGTGAGCGTGACACAACGATCCTTGGGGTCTTCTCATTGTAGGAAGTGCGGGCTTTCACGTTGGACCCACCGTCTACCATTGCCCAAGCTGAAAAGCAAATATGATATCCATTAACAGCACTGAAGGCTTTTGAAACAGGAACTCAAAGGACCAAGAGTTGATTGACAAAATACCCTTTTCCGTAGAATTACTTGTTTTTCCCCAAAACAAAAATGCTTTTTTTCCTGAGAATGAGAGTGATATTTAACATTTTTTGCATTAAAATAGGCAAATATTAAAACAAAGTTTAAAAAGGTCACATAACCCTGCCCAACCAGAGATAATGACTTCTAAAAACTTGGCTTAAGAACTCCCAGGCTCGAGAGCTCCCAGTGAGGTGCTGAGTTCTCACTGGGATTATACTGCAACTCAACATCTCTCTATACCGTAATCTGGCTTCCTTCCCTCTCTTATACAACTTTGATCCCAAGGGCACTCTTTCCTAAACATCCTACATGCTAATCTCCATCTCAAAAGTCTGGTTTCTGGGGAACTCAACCTGCGACAACCTAGGACATAAACACAACTAGCTACCCTGGATAATTCAAAATTTAAAATAGGTTTTCCTCCTACTATTTTCTCCTCCTTACTATTTCTCCTCCTATTTCTGATATATTCATGTTTTCAGTGATAAACATAAAACAGTTAAAGAGGTGAGTTAGATTTACATATCTGCTTTATCAGAGAATATAAAAAGAAAATGCTCTAGATTTCAAAATAGAACAGAAATTTCTAAGAAGATGAGGAGACCCTAGAAATGGCTTGAAATCTTTTTCTTGGTTTGGAAGTTTTCTTCACTGACTACCAACCTATACAAGAAAATAAACTTACTCAGAATTATCAAATTAGACTGTTGCTCTAGCAGTCACTCACTATGGGGTAAAACACAGTCCACCATGGCTAGCAACGAAAGCAGATGCATTATTACTTACTCCTGGCTGCAGGGAAAAAATAAAAAAAATGAACAGAATGTCCAGGTTCTGAGCTAAGGATGGCAGTCTCTTGGACTCCTCTCACACTTCTTTCTAAAAACCACACATTGCAACAAGGAGAACAAGTAACACCCTTAATCAATAGCTAAAGAGTAAGGAGGAGACGAAGAATAGTCACGAACACAAATTTATGAGAAAGAAGGGAAGTAAATACTGAAGATCAGTAGAAGAAGTGCCATAGTTGACCTCAGTATGCCATATTCTCATGGCAGGAGCTTCACAGAAGTGCCAAGAGGCTGGAGGCCTCTCAGTGGTGGTAGAACTCAGGGAACAACAGCCAAGATTTCTCCCCAGAAGGAAAGGGTCCCATCTAAAATGAGAACTACTGCATGTAGGCCTGAGATGTGGCAACAGAGCAGCAACAAGAGGAGGCCTAGAGAAGACACGGAGCCAAAGTGAAGTCCTGACAACAGACCAGACGACACAGAACACCTTTCAGAAAGTCTCAGCATGAGAGGCAACTGGAAGACAGCAAACAGAACTGAAGAAAAAGAAGGCGTTGAAGATAAGGGCCTTACTGAAACAAGACAGGATCCAACAAGACAGACGAAAAGTGAAAACAAAAAAGATGCCTGATAATAAAGATGCCTTCCTTGTCCTAACAGAAAAGAAATTTCCTTGGGCGCCTGGGTGGCTCAGTTGGTTAAGCGACTGCCTTCAGCTCAGGTCATGATCCTGGAGTTCCGGGATCGAGTCCCGCATCGGGCTCCCTGCTAGGCGGGGAGCCTGCTTCTCCCTCTGACCCTCCCCCCTCTCATGTGCTCGCTCATTCTCTCTCTCAAATAAATAAATAAAAAATCTAAAAAAAAAAAAAAAAAAAAATTTCCTGAACTGAGAACCACCCAAACTCCTTTTCTGCCACCACCTTCCCACCGACTGCACGGTGTCCGGCCCAAATGTAAGTAAGAAATATGTACAACTGCAATGTCCACTGAAAAGTATAAGAAGAAAATACAATGAATGAAAATTAAAACATTTCAGGCTACTTGAAAATTTCTATAAAGCAGAGTAAAACTGTAACACAACATTCAAAGACGATTAAAAATAAATAAGCAACAACAACAAAAAAAGAACACTATGGAACAAAAAAACAACTCAGGAAAGATAAATAGGAAGATATGAAATGGGAACTCATATAATACAGGAAAGAATGCAAACAACAACAACAACAAGACAAAATCACTTAAGACTTAGTTCTAGATCACAGGATACACAGAAAGGCAACAGATTGGTCGAAAAGCACAGTAAGCAATGAGAAAAGCAAAAAATAAGTGAAACAAGCAAACAGATAAAGGGGACCAGAAAGAAGGTAATAGATACAGAAGTCAGTGAGAGAAGAGTCAATATACATATATTAGGAGTCTCTTCAAAAGAAAAACAAAAACAATGAAATAGAACTAATCTTTAAAACTTTGATTCAAAAAAATGTTCCTGAAATAAAAGAGGACTTGAATATCCACACTGAGAGACATACTATGTAGATATCTGCCCAGAATCCCAACTCTGAATCTGAGATAGATCATAGTTCTATTATTAGACTTTCAAGATAAAGCTCTTTGGCGTTCCAGGCAAAAATACCCGAGCTACTTACAAAGGAAAGAAAATCGGATTATCAGCTTTTCTGCCTACAAGATTCAACGTGCACCCACACAGATATTATACCAGTTCAACAGTTTCTACCAGTTAACCAAAAAAAAAGAGTATATAGTGAGTGAAATAGTGTCCTACTAAAATTCCTGTCTCCTGGGAACCTTCAGAATATGACCTCATTTGGATATAGGGTCTTTGCAGATGTAGTTCAAGTTGAGGTCAAACTGGATTAGACTGGGCCCTAAATCAATGATTGGTATCCTTATAAAAACAGGAGACAGAGAAAAACAGACCGAGAGAATTAGAAGTGGAGGCACGAACTGAAATTATGTGTCTACAAACCAAGGCATGTCAACGAACGCCTGGAGCCACCAGAAGCTGGAAGAGGCAAGGAAAGATTCTTCCCTTGAGCTTTCAGAGGGAGCACGACACTGCCAACAACATGATGTTGGATTTCTGGCCCTCAGAACTGCGAGAAAATAAATTTCTGTTGTTTTAAGCCCTCTAGTTTCTGGTAATTTATTAGCGCAGCCCAAGGACAGAGGGGCTAAACCAAAGAGTCTGTAAGTAGCTGAGAGTCTTTAAAGAATCAAGGCTACAGAAAAAGCTTTTAACATGTAAGAACTCCGGTAACATGACCTGGATGAGCTAGTTCTCCTGAAGTGATCTTTCAGAGGACAAGTTTTATCCAACCAAAGGATGACTGAAGAACTCTTAGCAAAAGCACTGTTGGTCAATACTGAATAAATTTAACTGTGGATTTAAGAGGAAACCAAAGATAGTAAAATAGGTGGAAGACTAAAAGTGTGTAAATGTTATCTCACAGCTGACTGGTTGAGAGTCAAAGGATACCATTTAATCTGAAGAACTGAATAATAGAAAGACACATATCAAAAAAAGGTATGATTGACTAAAATGGGATGGTAGTCAAGGAGGCTACAATAAGCTGATTTCACTGTTGCTCATAGGGGAGAACCAACAGACGAGACCTAAAGCACAGGACCATATAATGGCATTTAAACAAAAAGGCATATATAAAGGTGTTAGTAAAAGTGGGCAATGAAAAGAAGAGATTTAACTTGAAAAATAATACCTGTAGTTTGAATAGCACTGAATATAGAAAAATCCACGAGACCTTAAGGATATCAAAAAAATAAAGGCAAAAGCCTGCTCTTCCCTGAAAAAATAACATTCATTTCCCTGGAGGTAGTTTTTACCCAAAGTCCTTACTTAGAAATTGGTGAAGAAAAAAAGTTAAACATGTATTTTGTCTTTCTAATAGGAATTACCTTTCAGGATAAACAAGTAACTCCAGTTGATGAAGAAACTTCTCAGTAGAAGAATTCTAGCTAATGTATGTAGAAAATACAACAGAATTAGAAATCCCATTTCATGTCTCTATAGATCTTAAAACTATTATGTGAAATGTTTGATAGAATCCTGATCTCAAATGGTGCCAAAATATTTCTCCAGACTACTTGTTGGTAGCAAGAGAATCAAAATAATTTGTAACAGAGATCTGGTCATGACCATTTTAACCATCTTACAGCATCACTAATAATAAGACTAGATATTTATATATCATATAAAATGATGCAGCAGGAAGTACATGAAGAATATCTACAACGTGTTCTTGACAAAAATCCTTAACCTTAATCCAATCAAGGCTTCAGATCTAATTTGCACTTTATAAGAAAAAGAAGATGAAAAGTAAACAAGTTAAATGACACTCTTAGGAAATAATCAGAAGAGTCCCAAAAGCAGGACATTATGTAACAACTAACTTGATCTCAACAAGTCAATGTCATGGGGAAGAAGAGGACTGGAGGGTGTTCGAGATTAACAGAACTTAACAGAACAACCAAAAAAATGCATGTGACTTGACCAGATCTTGGTTTGAAGTAACCAGTTGTAAAATCCACTTTAGAAGCAACTGGGGGAGATGTGAATATGGGATCAATTAGGGAATGTTAATTTTAATATTATATTCAAAATAATAGTATTACATTAATAGTATATTAAGAGATGCATAGTGAAGTGCATGGGGTAAAATGTCACGATCCTTGCAATTTTCTTTAAAGTACATGAAAAAAAAGAAGGAAGCAAATATACAGAAATGTTCAACTGTTAAATCTTGATGAAAGAGCACATGAAGATTCTGTACAATTTTATGTTTGTTTGAAATTATTCAAAATAAAAGTTAAAAAATGACAAAGAGAAGAAAAAAAACCTCAATTCTTTTTAGAAATAATCAGAAAAAACATGGTTTTACTAAGAAGTGAATTTACAGTGCTACATCTCTAGAGGTCAGTATTGTGTAAGAGAATAAAGACAGCGTATCTCAGTAGATAGTACCAGAATAATTTTAGATAAGAATTAGTAATTTAGTATTTTAAAAATATATTTCATGTTACAGAATTTCAACAAATTCTGTCCTAACACGTACATGGACAAATTATTTCAAGC